ATACTTGCTAAAGTTGTACAGAAAAAATTACTACACAGTAATTACTTAATATTTAGTACGGTTATGATAATTATCCGTTACTTCTTAAAACTTACATTATTTTTAATGTAATTGCTATAACAAATGGCCAGAATAGTTATTAACTTGTTTAGGTATTAAATCTATCTCAAGAAAGGCATAAAGACCCTTATAAGCAACAAAAAAACCAATAATTTAATTTGTTGTGATAAATTAGGTACTTACTTAATATGTACGTACATGTTATAAATGTTATTTATTCTAAATCTGCATTCCACACTATCTAACAAAAGTTAACATTTATGGGTTTATAAATACCTTACACTAACTTTTTACATGTGTATTTTGCCCAATTTTTGTTATTAATTAGTTGATTTCTCTCTACATGAGTCCATATTCAGACTAATCCAGGACGGAAATTTCAAGTTTGCCTTCTTTTAAGTACAATTAATTTAAAATTATCTGTAGTTATTGTAATTACATATATAATAGTAGGATTTTAAGAGGAAAATATCTATCTTGAAGAATATTTGCTTATAATGTACAATTCAGTTTATTATTAAATATTGGTTTCTAAATAAAAAGACGAGTGCTAAAAGTTCTAAAAGAAATGAGCAAATTTGCTGCCTTTTTAAATACATAATGAAAAGGAATTTAAAGCTACGTTACAATTATCACAAATTAAACATAAAAATATGTATCAGTAAATTTAGCTTAGAATTGGTAATAATGTTTTTAGGGTCCTTGTGTATGAGCTATGACTCAATATCATACTTGAGAACCCTAAACTTATTATTAAGGGGTGGGAGGGAAATCATTAACGAGCACCCTGTATATAATTACATAACAATAAATTCTTTTCATAAATAAGATGGACTGTTATAAGTGTGGTACATCATTTTTTAGATAGTCTTGTATCTATCCTTATATAACTTGTCATGATAGCCAAATGTTTACAAGTTTTATTAACATGCGTTTTGTTATTGTTAAATTAATATCAGAAAAAGAGATCTTTCATTATAATCGATAAAATCCTAATTTAACCGTACAAAATTTTGAGATTCTAAAACATATGTACCTAGTTTTTAGGTTCTTTGCGAGGAACATAATAAGAACGATAATAATTGATGTTATTCCTCTTTAATAATAAAATCATTATAGAGGATCCGTCGTTATTAACATCAGAAATATCTGGGAAAAATCTAATTAATTTAGAGATAATTACTCATCACAAAGTCGGAAAAATCGGAAATTATATTCCATATATTCAAGACCTAATTTTGTAGATGATAGTTTGCATACGCTTTGAGTTTGCCTGAGTGCGGCCCTGTAGGTCATGATTTTCCACTGCACCCCAATCATATTTACTTCGAAAGTTACACTTTGCTGGGCAATTTGTTGAATCGGTTGGTTCTCGTTGACTTTATGGGGCATGCCTACGCTGGGGTCATCGAAATAACCCATGCTGTTGGAGGAACAAACATTTTGTCTGTAGTCGTTGTAACAATGCTCCACATCTTTGATGTTAGCTTGGGTCGACCTATACGAATAACAATATTAGTATTTATTCCTACAACCATTACATAAACAAATTATGAAAGTATGAAATATTCATTGAAATAGTTTTGTAACTGAAAGACTACCAGGATGTCTATATGAATTAGACTGCAAGTAGAGGGCTAAGTGCCACCTTATGGTGGATTGAATTACACTAAGCTGGATTCAATTAATTCCAGTTTCATAGGAAGATAGTTAAAATAGGATCTAAGGTTGAACGAGAAGCTATGTGCTGCAGACCTTTTTAAAGAAAAATGTTAAAGATATCAGCTACAATTTTAAAATCACTGATGGTTTTGAACAGACTATCAATATCAAGTGAGCTTTTAAGGGAAATAAAGCAATTTACACATCGTAGTAGAAGTAATAGTTCAAGAGCTAGGAACTCAGATGGCACTGGGGTGTGATCTAGAATTAGAGTATATCGAAGGTACCACATTACTGAGGAAATATGGGTACATGGAATAACTGGTTGGACATTTTGAATACATTGACAGTAGAATCTCTTAATGCTTAGACATTAGCTAGATTTAACTCTACCATGGTCATCTCGGTAGTCTCTAGCATGGCGTGGAATCATATCACATTGTATGTAAAAAAAACTTACTTGAAAGTTAAATTAATGTATTCATCAGGCATATATTTGGAAATAGGAACATGGTAGGTAAAATTCAGCAGATGATTATTGTTGCTGTTATTAATTAGGTATTTGGTTGTTAGAGTTTTGTTGAAATTCCTCCCCTGGATGGTTATTGTAAATATTTGGTCTTCAGGAACTGCAACAAAGAAAAAATAAGATTTTTGACATTGGATTAAATTTTGTCTTCACATCCTACCTGATGGTCCAAAATCATTACTTTGGTTGATCCAGTCGTCACTTTCTCTCTTCTGCCTCTCCTGTTTACTTTTGTCAATATTGTTGTTGTTAAATGGTTTTCCGATGCTTTTCTTATCTATGTCAAGGATGGCTTCAACTTTGGTTCGATTAGGCATTGATTTCTGCCTTTTTTCGTTAAAAACGCCAATACTTATATGTTCGGGTTTATTGCGACTGGGTGGATTACAACAGTAAATCTAAAGTAAAAGGAAAATCCAAACTGATTGAAGGATATTGTAACGCCGAAATATTGAAAAGTTAATTTACCTGGCAAATATTTGTATTTTCTAAATCTTGGTCTACGACGAGACAGTCGGGCGGTCTTCCTATTATATCCCGATGATCTCTTATCAGAGTAGACGTGTCAATTTCTGGTGGTATATTTATCGCTGCAAAACAGTATTTTAGTTTTTAGCTCTTACAGATTTTAAATGATTGTCATTTACTTGGTGCTTTGTACTGTGTTGATGTCCGGTGAGGATATGGAGTGTTCCAAGGTTTAAAACTTGGATTTTTGGTTGGCTTTTTGGTGGTGGATGTTCTATCCAAACTTTGCATGGATGTATGCTGGACGTAATTGTTATGATTTGCAGCTTCCATCAGATACAGTGTTGTTATGGCTGCCAAGCTGAAACGAATCTTACAATTATTATACCAACAATCACATCATTCAAGGAAACTGTTACCAGAAAGCCATTATTAAGACCAAAATAATGATAATTATTTGAATAAATTTGGTTGAGCACAGTTCTATTTCGTTGTGGCAGGAGTGATTCTTTAGACATTTTTGGTAATGGATATGCTTTGTGCCACTGCTCGCTGAAAATATAACGTCTTTTGTTGATATTTCAGTAGGGAATATCGGATTGAAAAATTGTTCACCTGTACTGTTAGATTTTAAACTGTCACCTCTCTTGAGCTTCGTAAGCCTTCGATTTATCCTTTCCAGTTGGTCGATTCGAGTTTCTAAATTGTCTGTTACTTTACACAATTCCTTTACTGCTCCAATATTTTCCATGAAAATACGTTCCTGGAATTAAAAACATTGTAACATTTTATGAACAATAAAAGGACTTATTGAAGGTGTATGTTTGGAGCGTGGCGCTGTACGGAAGCGAAACATGGACAGTTAAAAAGGAAGAGCTATTAGGAAGAATAGGAGAACAGGGGACTCTATAGGCGAGATAGGTTGGTAGGGCACCTTCTCAGGCATGAAGGTCTAGTCAAGGACATATTAGAGGCAGAAACAGGAGTTA